ACCCGCGGCCTTGGTGTTGTCAGCACCGCACTCTCCCGAGTGAGCCACGGGGCCGGCCCAGGGCTCTGCTCTTTCTGACTCCCCCCCTACCTCCCCCAGTTGTGGATTGAGTCAGGGCCACACTAGTCCATACAGTGCTTTTGTGCCATTTGGAAGAAAGCAGCCCTTCCTCTAGGTGGACATAGCTCCTTACCAGGGCACAGCTTGGCAAGCAGAGTGCTGGCTGGATTTCAGTACCTCTGTGCTCCCTTGGCAATGCACCTTTGTACAGTGAATGGTCTGCACAACGGCACGCAGCACCCCTGTGTGGGAGATGGGTTCCTCTTCTCCTGTGATGTGTGTCCCTCCCTTCTCTCTACCCCTTCTTCCTAGTGCTTCAGAGTGATCCCAGCCCAGGGACCCCACCCCGCCTGGGAAAGCTCTGGGTGACAGACCCTACCTCAGACTCGCTGCACCTCTCCTGGACTGTCCCTGAGGGCCAGTTTGACTCCTTCATGGTCCAATTCAGGGACAGGGATGGACGTCCCCAGGTGGTACCTGTGGAAGGGCCTGAGCGCTCAATCATCATCTCCCCCCTGGACTCTGACCACAAGTATAGATTCACTCTATTTGGGATTGCCAACAAGAAGCGATATGGTCCCCTCATGGCCGATGGCACCACTGGTAAGTGGCAGCCACCTAAGCCCCCATGTGACCACTCTCAATCTTCTGCACATAAGCCCTCAGCCAGGAACAAGCTAGGGCCTCCCAGCAAGATGGATGACTCTGGCATACTGGCCCTGCTCCGGGGCTGAAGGGCAGCCAGCCTCCCCCACACTGCTGGGCCCCTTCCATCCTGTTCAGCAGCTCCCCAAGGCCCAGAAGGTGTGTCATACCCTGACTGTGCCAGACTTCCCAGGAGTTTAGCACTCACACTAATAGAGCAGTGACCCATCCCGCCCACCAGGTGTGACATCCCGTCCAAACCCCAATCCCCAATCCCAGGCTGCCAGTTCACCACCTGGATGGATCCTCTTGTTTACAGCCCCAGAGAGGAAAGAGGAGCCCCCCCAACCCGACTCACCCGAACAGCCTCTCCTGGGGGAACTGACGGTGACCGGCGTGACCCCAGACTCCCTACGCCTGTCATGGACTGTGGCCCAGGGCCCCTTTGACTCCTTCGTGGTCCAGTACAAGGATGCAGAGGGGCAGCCCCAGGCAGTACGCATTAGTGGGGATGAGAACGAGGTCACTGTCCCTGGCTTGGAGTCCGACCGGAAATATAAGATGAACCTCTACGGGCTTCGTGGCAGGCAGCGTGTGGGGCCTGTGTCTGTGGTGGCCAAGACGGGTGAGTCAGGGCCGCACAGGCCTCCATCCCCTGGTAGTCCCAGTCCTGTGAGCAGGACCTGGCCCGGGATCCTTCCAGCTTATCCACAGCCTCCTTCATGGCCTGGTTCATGTTGTGGCCGTTTCTGAGATTCTGTCACCACTCCCCCGACCCTCACACCATTGCTGCCCTGTTCAGAGGTGGCAGATCTGAAGGACAAGAGCACTGCATTTTCCCAGCCTCTTTGAGGCATGAACAGGACTCCTCCCAGCCCCTGACTCCCAGCCAGCTTGGAACGGGGCAAAGGGCTCACTTGCAGCCCTGCATCCCAGCCTGTTCCTCCATGTCCCCAGGCTCTCTCAGTCTGTTGCCATTCCCATGGCCCATGAAGCCTTTGCCAAGAGGTATTGTGGCGTAGTGGTCAGGAGCATGGGCTCGGGAGCCAACTCCCTGGCTGTTACTGCCAGCTTCACAACTTATTGCCTAAGGGACCTTGTGCGAGCCACTTAACTTCTCTGTGTCTCACCTTTCCCTTCTGTCAAATGGGGATAATAATGGTAGCCACTACACAGAGTTGTCAGAATTAAATGAGTTCATATACAAATAGCACCGAGAATAGTGCCTGGCACATCAAAACTGCTACTTAAGAGTGAGCTTCTGTTTCTCCCTGATTCTCTCACTTCCTAGTAAACATTTCTGCTCCTCACCTCCCTCCCTTTCCCAGCCTTGCCGGGGTTATCATTCTTGCCTGTTCCCTCCTCAATCTCCTGTCCCGTAAGTAGTCCCCCATGGACCAGGGAGTGGGTCACAGAAGGGCTGGCTTTCCTTGTGCCACAGTCTCCCTATACCATGGACCCTCCGCAAAGACCTAACTGCAGGGACAATAAATTGGTGGCCTTCGGGGTGTGATTCCAGAGCCAGCCAGGAAAGAGCAGGGGCCTTCCCAACCTCCACCCACCCCTGAATCTTTCACCCACTCTTGTCTAGAACCCTGCCTTAGCAATTCATACCTTAGGGTTAAAGGGCAGACAGGGGCAGGGCTGTCCAGGGAGGGCGTGGCCGGAGCACATTCCATGATCCTGTCCAGGTGAGGGGATGGGGCAGCCAGAGCGCCCTGGGAAGGGGCATAGGTGGGAAGAGGCTTCACTGCCCGCCTCGCTTTCCTGAGGTCAGCACAGTTAGTGAATGCAGTATGGAAGGATCCTCAGAAGTTTCCTCTCTTCCCATCTTGGCTCCTTTCTCAGACATGAGGGGAGACCCCCAGGCCCACAGAACCCACTAGTGCAGTCCCACCAGCAGTACAGGACAAATATTGGGGGCTCTTAGCCCTCTCTCCTTCTGTGAGTGACTAAGTGGCTAATACAAAGGCTACGTAAGTCCCTTAGCCTACTGAGCTCCTAGTAAACTTGAGGAGTATGTTGCTGGTGGACTTGATTGTCTTTATCGACGACAGCAGCAAAGCAAGTCACCCTTACAGCCTGTATCCCCCATCTCTTCTCTTAGCCCCCCAGGATGTTGTGGATGAGACCCCTAGCCCCACAGAGTCCAGCATGGAGACCCCAGAGCCCCCCGAGGAGCCACTTCTGGGAGAGCTGACAGTGACAGGATCATCCCCAGACTCGCTGAGCCTCTCCTGGACTGTCCCCCAGGGCCGCTTCGATTCCTTCACCATCCAGTACAAAGACAGAGATGGGCGGCCCCAGGCAGTACGTGTCGAGGGCAAGGAGAGTGAGGTCACCGTGGGGGGCCTGGAGCCTGGGCGCAAGTACAAGATGCACCTGTACGGCATCCATGAGGGGCAGCGCATGGGTCCCGTGTCCACCATGGGAGTGACAGGTGAGTGAGGGGGCAGGGGCCTGCTTTGGTTCTCTCCTACTGCTGGCCCCCAGCTTCCTTGTAGCCAGTTGCTCTCCCTTGCCCCAGTGGAACCACAAGGCCCCACCTGTTTGGGGAAGACCTAGAAATAGAGGTCACTGAGCTTTCAGGACCTGAGCAAGTTTTAAACCTTCTGTGCCTCTGTTTCCTTGTCTGTGAAATGGAGGTAACACCTACCTCACAGAACTAGTGCGAGGATTAAATGACTTAACAGTTGTAAAGCACTGAGGATGGGCCTGGCACAAAGTAAACATGCTGTCAGCATTTGCTGCTATGATTATTGTAATCACCCTTACTCAGGGGTCTGCTTTGTCCCTTTTTGCTGGTTCAGCTCCTTAGTTGGTCAGAATGTATATGAGACATTGGCCTTTTCATCAGTGCAGCTCAAAACTTTCTTTAACCCTCGTTCAGTGAGTGACTTTACAGCAGAGAAGAACATTCCTTCTGCCCCTTGTCTTGGACCTGGTTACAGGGCCACCTCTGCAACCACAAAGGACCCAGCCTGGGCACCTCCTCTCCAGAGCCTCAGCCCAAGAGGCTGGGTGGGCAGCAGTGCCTCTGGAACTCTCCTGCTGACCTGCCCAGCTTGGTCACAGTGAGGGGGTCTCATTTTCCCTTTACTCACTGAAACAAAGACGCACCTTTTTCAAAAACAACTTTTACTATAAGGGGAAAGACTAGAAACGTAAAGGTAGAGAAACAGGTTTCTAGAACATGGTTTCTCTACTTCCACAAAGCTCAACCTCATAGTGACATGGTTGGCTTAGTTTCCACAAACTTCCACTCCTAATTTCTTTTCTTTGCTCAGTCAGCACTGAGAAGAGGGAAAGGGGAAGCCACCCTGAGTTACTGGCCTCAGGGCCTGAGGTAGAGTGGAGGCTCATGCCAGGCCCAGAACATGCTGCCAAGGTTTCTCCTGGGTGACTCTCGTTCTGTGCCTCTGTCCCAGGCAGCCACACCAGGCTCTGTGAGGCCCTGTGCCTGGTCCTCAGGGTAAGGATGGGTTCTAACAGGCAATGCTATAGAGGGAAATAGACTTTTGGAATTTGACAAACTGAGTTCCATTCCTGGTTTCCCCAACTGTGTGATCTTGAAAAACTTACCACCTCTCCTGGAAGCTCAGCTTCCTCATTTTCAAGATGGAGCAAACGCCACCGACTTTGCCACAGTGGGTTAGAGGTGGTGATATAACATGTCTAGCATGTTCTCAGCTCATTTTGACTTTTGCTGAGACCATCCTGTGGAGAGATCACTGTATATCGAATTCTAGTGCTGTATATTTTTAAACATGTATTTTGCATGTCTTGGATAAAATGGAAGTGGCCCATTAAGAAAGAAGTGGACGTGGGTGTTCATCAGCAGAGCAGGCTGAGGCTCTTGGTGGGGCTGGGAGGAGAAATACGTGGGGCTACTTAGAAACACTTCCCAGATGCAGTGGGGACTGTCATACTCACCAACAATTATAATCTCGCCCTTTCCAGTTAAGCCAAACCACTAGCAGTCAGGTTTGATGGTGAGGGACAGTTTCTCTCCCTCATGGAAGGAAGTACAGAGATGGCAAAACCAGCAGGAAGTGGACGCTACAGGAACTACCATGGTTAGAAGGCACACAAAAGGAAAGAACATGCCTGGCCTGGTCCCTGTACATAGTACATGGTGGTCACTCTGGTCCCACCCATCCCCCTCAGCTGCCTCCATCCTGTCCTTCCCACCCAGACTCTTTTCTGTCTGCCTGACACCTGGTTACCAGCCTGTTTTAAGCAGGTTTCACCTGTCTGGAGCCTAGTCTTGCCCTTCCATGGAAGCTAGAGAAACAAGATCTCGGGAGCGCCCCCCCCCCCCCCCCACCCGTTCACTACAAGGATAGAGATGGACAGCCCCAGGTGGTGCCTGTGTCTGCAGACCAGCTTGAAGTCACAGTCCCCAACCTGGAGCCTGCAAGAAAATACAAGATGAACTTCTATGGGCTACATGGTCAGCAACGTGTTGGCCCCCTCTCTGTGATAGCCATGACGGGTGAGTGAGGGGTTGAAGCACTCCCCATCCCTGGTTACCCAGAGCTTCCCCAGCCTGAGACCCTTTTCCCAGCCCTGCCTGGGCACCACTCTTCCCTCCCTGAGGGGCTAGACCCCCTCGGGCTCTGCCTCAGTGACCCTACAGGTCCTTCCCTGGCTCACAGTCATCTTAGTCTGTTTCCTGACCGCATGGCTCCTCCTCAGGGCTGGAGCCTTCCCCACCCCGCAGTCCCTTCCCCATCTCCACTCTACCTCCTCACCCTGCGGGAATATGTTCCTTCCATTTGCCCTAAATCCAGATGTAGACTCTCTCTCCCTCTCCGATTGTCCATAGCTGTTTCCTTCCATTCTCTTTACAACCTTGCTGTGACTTGGACAGGGCTGCCACCTCCCTCTTCTGCCCTTTTTCACTGGGGTTAGACGACACACCTCTTGGAATCTCTTCTCGGAGGTCCTGGCCTCCTGGCCTGAGCTGCATTCCCTCTGGCCGTGCCAGTCTTTGTCCCTCTGGGAAGCTGCCATCTCTCTTGGCTCCTGGCTCCTTCCCGCCCCTCATGGCTTCCTGGGCATGGGTTCTCCACAATTTTTTTTTTTTTTTTTAAAGATGACCAGTTAAGGGAATCTTAACCCTTGACTTGGTGTTGTTAGCACCATGCTCTCCCAAGTGAGCCACGGGCCAGCCCTCACAATTTTTGTGCTGTGGCATCTGGTGGAACCCCTGGTCCCTCTCAGACCAATCTTTTCAAATCTATAAAATAAAATGTATATATGATTACAAAAGAAACCAATTATCTTGATATATAATTATCAAAAGAGTTCTTTAAAACTCAAATTTATAGGGCCAGCCTGTGGCTCACTTGAGAGAGTGCGGTGCTGATAACACCAAGGCCACGGGTTCGGATCCCATATAGGGATGCCCGGTTAGCTCACTTGGGAGAGTGTGGTGCTGACAACACCAAGTCAAGGGTTAAGATCCCCTTACCAGTCATCTTTAAAAAAATAAAAACTCAAATTTGTGACTTAGTAATACCTGGGCTTATTCATTAAATAACAAGACTTGGTGGCATGTTTGATAAACTGCCACATTTGGAAGTAGTGATGAGTATCAACGGTATTTTGAAGTTTCTGTAATAACTCTAAGGTGATGTGAACATCTGTGATTTCTACTGGTGACAAAGTAACAATACTACTATTGTGGTTAGTTTCCTGTGTTGATCATTGAAGGAAATACTTCATTTCAGTTAGAAGTCAGTGAAAATAAAGATGTAACTGTTCCCCAACTCAGCTCACAGTCCCCTGAGGCCTCGGAGCACAATAGTTCTCCCCTCAGAGATCTCCTGTGTTCTTTGTCTTCCCGGATCCCAGCTCCCCTCCCACCAGCCCCAGCCACCTCCAAACCCCCTCTGGAGCCACGCCTGGGGGAGCTGACAGTGACGGATGTGACTCCCGACTCCGTGGGCCTCTTGTGGACAGTCCCTGAGGGCAAATTCGACTCCTTTGTGGTCCAGTACAAGGACAGGGACGGACAGCCCCAGGTAATGCTGGCGTCTGCAGACCAGCGTGAGGTCACAGTCCCCGGCCTGGAGCCCTCCCGCAAGTACAAGTTCCTGCTGTTCGGGATCTGGGATGGGAAACGACTCAGCCCAGTCTCTGTGGAGGCAAGGACAGGTGAGAGGCCCCAAGCACCAGCCTTCCTTTCTTCCTTCCTTCTTCGCACTCCCTTCTGCCAGGTCTTTCCTGTCATTTGAAAAGCCATGCTACCTGCCCAGTCCAAAGCAGACAAAGATCGGGAGAATGGGGCTAGTTCCTGAGTCTCTCCTCCCCTGCTGACTTTTCCTCTCCTCTCATAATTTCTACTTCTGCTGGATGGTGAAGACCCTGCAGGCCCCTTCCTGGAGGATGGAAGGTGGGAGACTAGGGTGCTGGGCAAGGGGTCGAGGATAGCCAGAAGCCCTTCCTCCTCCCTGGGCCATGCAAGGCTGTCGCCTTCTGAATTTCACTGTCTCCCCTCTGACTCTCACCTAGCTTCTCACCCTCTTGGCTCAGGCCCATCTGGTCCCATATCTGCCTCCCACAGAGGCTCCCCTTCCTCCTCTGCCCTCCTCCTGGAGCCTCAGAAACTGGGAATCAGAGGAGCCCAGCCCAGCTGTGCCCCTTTCCTGGGGTTCAGTCCAGGCCCTCTCCTGCCCCTGGAGGCTCGCCGTTGCCAGAAAACTCTCGCAATAAGCATGCGTCAGCGCCCTCGCTGTCCAAGAAGGCAGCAGGCCGGCTCCTTCCCAGGCCCTGGGATGGCTCCTCAGCAGACACCAGGCCCTTTCCCCGTCTGTACTCCTTCCTTCAACTCCCCCCCAACACACACTCGCAGGCAGCCCCCCGCTCCTCCACCAGGCCCTGGGGGAGTCTTACCTCTGAGTCTGGCTGGTGTAGAACGAGTGGCGCAAGAACCACCCCAGTCATAAGATCCTGCCTCCCCCACCTGCTGTCTGCCCCCGTCAGGGGTCCTGTATCCCGCACCCCATTTCCCCAGGGGCCAGCCAAATCACAAAGTGTGAGCTCCTGGGTAGAAGTCTGGGATGAGCCGTACCCTGCTAGGGATAGTCTCTAAGAGGTGGGAAGAGTCTGGGGAGCTGGAGGAATAAGACAAGGAGGGAAGCTAGGGACTCTTATTTTCCCAGAGATGACTCAGGACAGAAGACCCCTCCCCACACTTGTCAAGTGGAGGGAGGCATGGGCCAGTTGGAGATGGTGGTAAGGATGGGAGGGTGGTGGAAATATTTCAGGGAAGCACCGACCATTTGCGCAGTTCTGGGTCTTTTCCAACCCCAGAAGGAGGCAGTTAAGGAGTCATTTTGGAAAAAGTAAACACAAGAACCTTTCCTCTCTTTCAGCTGCCCGAAGTGACACCAGCCCAGGGGCCCCACCCCGCCTCGGGGAGCTGTGGGTGGCAGACCCCACCCCAGACTCACTGCGCCTCTCCTGGACAGTCCCCGAGGGCCAGTTCGACTCTTTTGTGGTCCAGTTCAAGGACAAAGACGGGCCCCGGGTGGTGCCTGTGGAGGGCCATGAGCGCTCAGTCACCATTGCCCCTCTGGACGTGGGCCGAAAGTACAGATTCCTCCTTTATGGCCTCCTGGGCAAGAAGCGCCACGGCCCCCTCACTGCTGACGGCACTACGGGTGAGGGACATCCTCTGCAGGGCCCTGCTCTGCCCCCGGGGGCCCAGGACAGCAGGTGGCCACTTGTGGTGTCTGCCATTACCACTGCTTGGCCCCGGCCACTTTGGCTCAGATCCAGCTCCCCCATGTCCTTGCACAAGCCCATAGCACCAGTCCTGTGGGACTCAACCATGCACAGCCCTGTCTCCAGATCTCTCCATCTTGTCCTTTGAGGTCACCCAGGCTTCCAGAAACAGCTTAGCCATTTCCACTTCATGTCTCCATCTCAGAGTCCCAGAGTGCTGTGGATGATCCTGGAACAAAGCATCCCCCAAAACCCCGTCTGGGAGAGGAGCTGCAGGTGACCAGTGTGACGCCGGATTCCATAGGCATCTCATGGATGGTCTCTGAAGGCCAATTTGACTCCTTTGTGGTCCAGTACAAGGACAGGGATGGGCAGCCCCAGGTGGTGCCCGTGGAGGGCAGCCTCCGGGAGGTCAGCATCTTGGGCCTGGACCCCGCCCGCAGGTACAAGCTACTGCTCTACGGGCAGCATGACGGCAAGCGTGTGGGTCCCATCTCGGCCATCGCCGTGACTGGTGAGTGCAGCAGCAGCGGAAAAACCTGTGCCTTCTTCCCACCTGGCTCTCCTGATCTGACTGAGCCATAAGACCTCTGAGCTTCCCACTTCCCCTCTTTTGGGAGAAGGGATCAGCTGTATAAAAGCATAATTTGCATATAGTAAAATTCACCCCTTTTAAGGGAACAATTCAATGAGTTTTGGCAAATGCATGTCATAAAACCTTGACCACAATTGAGATATAGAACATTTCCATCAACCCAAAAAGTTTCCTTGTGTCCCCTTGCAGTCAGCTCCCCCAACCCCACCCTCCCGGCAACCACTGATCTGCTTTCTATTGTTATATCGTTTGCTTTTTTAATCATTTCATTTAACAGAAACATACAATATGTAATCTCTTGTATTTATTTATTTATTTATTATTTATTTATTTATTTTTTAAAGATGACCGGTAAAGGGATCTTAACCCTTGACTTAGTGTTGTCAGCACCACGCTCACCCAGTGAGCAAACCAGCCATCCCTATATGGGATCCGAACCCGTGGCCTTGGTGTATCAGCACCGCATTCTCCCGAGTGAGCCACAGGCCGGCCCGTAGTCTCTTGTATTTAAAAGCTTCTTGCACTTAGCATACTGCTTTTGAAATTCATCTGTGTATGTCAAAAGCTGTTCCTTTTATTGCTAACCTTTTGCCTTTACTTCCTTCCCTCCTTCCCTCCTTTCCTCCTTCCTCTTCCCTGCTCCCTCCTCCTGAGAGCCTTGGTGCAGCGACAGACCAGTCATCCATCTCTAACTGTCTCTCCGAACCAGCCCCTAGGGAAGAAGCGGAAACCTCTGCACCAGCCCCTCCTGCACCTGAGCCCCGCCTTGGGGAGCTGACGGTGGAGGAAGCCACACCACACACCCTGCATCTCTCCTGGACAGTGATTGAGGGAGAATTTGACTCCTTCGAGGTCCAGTCCACAGATAGAGATGGGCAACTCCAAGTGGTCAGTATAGGGAGTGACCAGAATGACATCACCCTCTCCGGCCTGGAATCCGACCACAGATACCTGGTGACCCTGTATGGTTTCCATGATGGGAAGCGTGTGGGTTCTGCCCATATCGAGGCCCTGACAGGTGAGGGAGAACTCTGCCCACTCTGCTTCCTTCCAGATGGCTGGGAGAATTCGGAGGAGAGGCAAGTCCCCGTGGAACCCTGCCCCTCTCTAGTGTCCTTCTTACTCTTCATGTTTTTGTTCAGTCCCACGGGAAGAGGATGATCAGCCCTCAGAACCTCCCACCATGACCCCAGAGCCTCCCCTCAAGCCGCACCTGGGGGAACTGACTGTGACAGACGCCACCCCTGACTCCCTGAGCCTCTCCTGGACAGTCCCCGAGGGCCAGTTTGATCACTTCCTGGTCCAGTACAGGAATGGGGACGGGCAGCCCAAGGCAATGTGGGTGCCAGGGCATGAGGATGGGGTCACTGTCTCAGGCCTGGAGCCAGACCACAAGTACAAGATGAACCTGTATGGCTTCCACGGTGGCCAGCGTGTGGGCCCCGTCTCTGTCACAGGGGTGACGGGTGAGTGGATAGGGGAGCCCCAGGGTGGGACGTAGTGGAAGGGTCACCCTCATGCTCTTTGGGGACAACTAAACGGGGCATGGTTCAGGGTCTTAGTCAGTACCACAGACCTGCTGGGGCTGAGGCTGTGGCTCCCTTTGTCCGTCCTCTGTGCTTGACCGTGGCTCCTCCTGGGTAGGCAGGGGCCATGGAGAGCTGTGTTGTGGTGGTGGCTACCCTGGGAGCCCACAGTTGACCCCGGAGCCTGGGCATGTTTGGTAGCTGTCAGACTAGCAGGACCACCGAGCCCCAGATGGGCTTGTGTGAACTGACCTCAGGGCCCCCAGTCGTGGTCAAGGCTGGTCCATCCTTCTCTCCAAGATCCCAGGACATCCCCAGGCACCCTGCCTCACCCTCTCTGTTTCCCCTCCTCAGCTCCAGAAGAAGAGACCCCCGCCCCCACAGAGGTGGACGAGATCCCCAGCCCCACAGAACTCAGCACAGAGTCCCTGGAGCCCCCTGAGGAGCCAGTTCTGGGAGAGCTGACGGTGACAGGATCGTCCCCAGACTCTCTGAGCCTTTCCTGGACTGTCCCCCAGGGCCACTTCGACTCCTTCACCATCCAGTACAAGGACAGGGATGGGCAGCCCCAGGTGGTGCGTGTTGGAGGCGAGGAGAGTGAGGTCACCGTGGGGGACCTGGAGCCTGAGCACAAGTACAAGATGCACCTGTACGGCCTCCACGAGGGGCAGCGCATGGGCCCCGTATCTGCCGTGGGAGTGACAGGTAAGTGAGATCTCAAGGGCCCTCTCAGTTGGGTCTCGAGAAAGTGAAGCCTCCAGCATGCTGTCCACTGGAGACCCAGGACCCCAAAGCCCCAAAATCTCCAATGCACCTCCTGTCCACAAACACCTCAGGAAAAGTGTGATCTGGGGACAGGGAGAGCCTGTCCCTTACCGCAGGTAAGTGATAGACCCTCTAAGAGAGGGCCCCTAGGGACTGAGGCATCTAGGTAGGTAATTCACTGACTGATTTGTGGCTCTCTACTTTTCCTGGGAAATCTACAGAGAACTGTTCTTGTGAAATTGGGACAAATCCCATGAAATATTAATTAATTTGTTCAATAAATATTTATTAAATACAATTTCAAGCATATACACAAAGAAAGAATAGTGTCATGACCTCTCATGTGTCTTCTACCCTGCTTCAATCAAATGTCAACTCCTGGCTAGTCTGGCTCATCCGTGTCCACCCATTTCCTGCCCTCCTGCACTAGAATGTTTTCTTTATTAACGGCTTTATTGAGATATAATTTATGTGCCATAAAATTCACCTGTTTTAAGTGCACTAGTTATCAATTTCTGTATATTTACCTAGTTCAGCAACCATCACCACAGTCTAATTTTAAAACTTTTTCTTCACCCCCCTAAAAAACCTGTTTCCAGACCCATTCCCATGCTCAGCTCTAGTTCAGGACTAATCTACTTTCTGTCTCTGTAGATTTGCCTTTTCCAGACATTTCATATAAATGGAATTGTACAATATGTGTTCTTTTGTGTTTGGCTTCTTTCACTGAGCATAATGTTTGTGAGGTTTATCCACGTTGTAACATGTAGCAGAACTTCATTGCTTTTTATTTCTAAATAGTATTCCATTGTATGGATGTATCACTGCAATATTTTAAAACTAATCCCAGACATCCTTATACTTTCATCAATAAATATTTAAATATATATATATATATATATATATATTTCAATTGAGAAATTATCCTGGCAAAACTCTAATTCTTCTGGTTTCCCATTCCTTTCAATACACCCCAAAATATATTATGCTGTTTTACCACATTTTGGATGGTCTCTCAAGATTAAAATTCTAAATTCCTTTCTTTTTGTTAACCCAAAACTCCCACCAACAGAGGAAACAAAATCTATCTCATATTTTAGAATTCGGTGCCTGAAAAGCTTCCAAATTCGATTAAGTTAAGCTTTTCCTTTGAAGATTTCCAAGTCAGTGAGATCCTAGCATAAAAGGAATTCCACATGGATTTCATTATTCTAGAGCAGGAGTCAGCAACTTTTTTCTGTACAGAATCAAATAGGAAATATTTTAAGCTTTGCAGACCATGCAGTCTCTGTCATAGCTACTGCCACGGGCTCGGCCCTATATTTATTTTTTAAAAGACTATTTTAAAAATCCACAATTAATCACTGTACCTTTAAAAATGAACAATTATTCCTTAATATTGAGTATCCACGTAGTGCTACAGTCTCCAGATTGTCTCATAATTATTCTTTTGCAGTTTGGTGCTGGAATCAGGTCCAAATAAAGAGGATACATTGCAATTGAAAGAATTTGAATTTTAAATAGCGTGGTCAGGGAAGGCCCCCCAAAGTAGGTGACGTTTGAGCCGAGACATAATGGGCAAGAGCCATGCAGATATCTGGGGAAAGGACATTCAGGTGGAGGGAAAAGTCACTGCAAAGACCCTGAGGCAAGCAGCTGCCTGGCATATTTGAAGGACTAAGGAGGGCACAAAAAGACTTTGATGATCATAATTAGAAATGGATCTTAAGCCCAGAAACAGCACGTCTTCTGACCTGATTCCAAGAAAGCTGGAGAACTCTATAATAGCTCCTTCCAGCAACAAGAAAGATTCTGTTTATATCTCTTCCCAGCCCCAAGAGAGGAGCCCCCTGATGCTCCTGTTCTGAAGCCACGTCTAGGGGAGATGACAGTGACAGACGCCACCCCTGACTCCTTGAGCCTCTCCTGGACAGTCCCCGAGGGCCAGTTTGACCACTTCCTGGTCCAGTACAGGAATGGGGACGGGCAGCCCAAGGCGATGCGGGTGCCAGGGCATGAGGATGGGGTCACTGTCTCAGGCCTGGAGCCAGACCACAAGTATAAGATGAACCTCTACGGCTTCCATGGTGGTCAGCGCATGGGCCCCATCTCTGTTTTCGGTTTAACTGGTGAGTATGCAATGGGACCCTGGGCTCTGCTCCGAGCTGGACTCAGTTTCTCTTTCGTCAGTATGCAGGTGTCTTTATCCCACTTTCCCTGAGACTGAGCCTCCCAAGCTCCTGGGAACAGTTCTGCTCATGTCTTCACTCTAAGCCTTTGGTGTCGCCCCAGCCATCTTACCCTTTACACATGGGCTTTTTGGGTCCTTGAAGAGACAGAGCACCAGGAAAATAACAGACTGAGGCACACCTGGGGTTGACCCTATCCTCAGCCCATTTGAGCTGTGTGGCCTCAAGCTTTCTGTGCCTTTGAGCTTTCTGTGCCTCCCTTTCTCCATTTGGTAAGAAGGAATAACCATACCTGTCTTTAAGGGTGAGTGTGACTGTGGCTCTGTTCACGCATAAGGAAAAGTATCTGCAGGCTTCCCTTTCTGAGGAAGGTAATTAGTTTCTGAAAATCCCTTAGGCCCGATTTTCATAATTATCATAGATTTCAGTGGGAAAAATTGTATGTGTTCCCCAAGCCCCTAAATTGATACCCATTTATGCTAAAACAACACTGAGTCCTATTAGCATCGATGCTATTACTTAAATAGTTAATATTAGGCATATGCACTGCTTAGCAAGGTGTAGCTGTTACTCCTAGATGCTTAAGATCCAGTTCCCAAACAGAACAGACAAATGAAATGCAATGATTTTGTAATTCAGCTTTCAAGGCAGTATAGAACCCCATGAAGAACAGAAAAGACTAAAGATACCAATGAAAACAAAACAAATGATTTCACGCAGGCCAAAAGAGCTGGCATCCCTGGGGGTATGATCTCTGCCATAAGCCTACAGAACTACTGCAAGGTCCAGAAACTACCCATTTGCAAAGATGACCTCTTGTGGTCTCATCTCTTTACCCTCAGTGTGAAATCTAAATTAGTTTCTAAAAATGCTCAGGGCTGGCCAGTTAGCTCAGTTGGTTAGAATGTGGTGTCACAACACCAAAGTCAAGGGTTCAGATCCCCATATCGGCCAGCTATGAAAATAAAAAATTAATTAAAATTCTCAGAAAAACATTCTAAACCAGAAGGAGAATTAAAGGAAAACACTCATGAGGTGGAATTCCCGAACTCAAGTGGATGTACCTCCAGATGCGGCTTGTCTGGTGTGCTTGGTGTTATTATAAAGCATGAATTCTTCCTGCTAAGTAAATTCACTCAGCAGCCCCCATGGACTACGTGCATGCACACACTGAGCATCGTGTGTGTCTGCTGTGCTGTGACAACTGCAGTCACTGCCACCTCGCCTGCCACCACTGGCTTCATGCAGCACTCTTCCTCCCTGCAGACCACCTGCACCATCTCAGGGCTGACCACCAGGGCTACTTTGCCCACTGCTATGGACTCCATAGCACCCCCCTCCTCTGTCCCAAAGACTACCTCCACCTCCCCAACACTGACCAGCAGTACCACCTCGCCTGAGGCACTGTCTCCTTAGCACCCTCCTCCTCTGCCCCAGAGACCACCCATACCACCGCAGTGCTGACCACCAGGGCAACATCACCAGCAGCCACTGGGTCCATGGCACCCCCATTGTCCCCTACCTTGGGAACTGGTGTGCCCTCCCACCCCCAGGGCTGACTACCACAGACTCCTCGCCACCGCCACCAACTCCACAGCACCCACACCATTTACCCTAGAAAGAAAAAAATCACCTGCCATGGTGACTTCACCACAGGTGTGTGCTCTGTCCCTGTTAACTGAACATTCAAGCCAGGGAAGTGATATCCTGACCCTGGGCATGGGTGTCCAGGCTGTGGGGCCCTGGTATCTCTAAGAGAATTCCCAGAATTTCCCAGCTGGAAAGAGCCCCACCAGTACATACTCCATTCTCTCTATCTCTTAATGCAGCCCCAGGGAAGGACGAAGAAATGACCCCAGCCCTGACAGAACCTCCCACCATGACCCCCGAGCCTCCCATCAAGCCACACCTGGGGGAACTGACTGTGACAGATGCCACCCCCCACTCCCTGAGCCTCTTCTGGATGGTCCCCGAGGGCCAGTTTGACCACTTCCTGGTCCAGTACAGGAACGGAGACAGGCAGCCCAAGGCAATGCGGGTGCCGGGGCACGAGAACAGGGTCATTGTCTCTGGCCTGGAGCCAGACCACAAGTACAAGATGAACCTGTATGGCTTCCATGGTGGCCAGCGTGTGGGCCCCATCTCTGTCATTGGGGTGACTGGTGAGTGGATGGGGGAGCCCCAGGGTGAGACCTCGTGGAAGGGTCACCCTCATGCTCTTTGGGGACAACTGAGTGGGGGACAGTTCAGGGATCTTGTTCGATACCACAGATCTGCTTGTGGCTGAGGCTGTGTCTCCCTTTGTCCGTCCTCTAGCATGACCAGGGCTCCACCTGGAGCCTAGGCATGTTTGGTAGCTGTCAGCCCAGCAGGACCACCCAGCCCCAGAGTGGGCATGTCCAAACTGATTCCAGGCCCCTGTTCTGGCTGCAGCTGCACCATCCTTCTCTCCAAGACCCTAGAACATCCCCAGTGACCCTGCCTCAACCTCTCTGTCTTTCCTTCTCAGCTGCAGAAGAGACCCCTGTCCCCAGTGAGGTGGACAAGACTCCCAGCCCCACAGAACCCAGCACAGAGGCCCCAGAATCCTCTGAAGAGCCACTCTTGGGGGAGCTGACGGTGACAGGATTGTCAACAGACTCGCTGAGTCTCTCCTGGACTGTCCCCCAGGGTCACTTCGACTCCTTCGCTGTCCAGTACAAGGACAGGGATGGGCGGCCCAAGGTGGTGCGTGTTGGGGGTGAGGAGAGTGAGGTCACCGTGGGGGACCTGGAGCCTGGGCACAAGTACAAGATGCACCTGTACGGCATCCACGAGGGGCGACGTGTGGGCCCGGTGTCCGCTGTGGGTGTGACTGGTGAGTGGCGGGGCAGGGGACTTGGGGGATGACTGCTTATTTCTCACAGATACCTGGTTGACTGTTCTGCTCTCTCACCGAACCCTGTGGGTCCAGGTACTGGCCCCTCTTTCATGCCACCCAACTCTAGTCCCCCTCCATGACTCCCCTTCCATGGCTCTTTGCTGTTGTCCATGCCTATTGGTTTGGCCTTTGCCCACCTGCAGCCTCATTGTCTACTCTGGAGGCCTCCCTCTACTGGTCAGCCACTGCCCACCTCCAAGGGTGAAATATGTCAGTCACAGGCCAACCCTGATTTACCAGAATTTTTCTTTCTTCCCATCTTAATCACAGCATTCTATGAAGTAAGCCCCCCCACACACACACACACAGAAACTACCCAGCCTCAAACCACATTGAGATGACTAAATAATTTAGGCAACACCTATAAAATGAGCTATAATGCCACCATTGAAACATTTTGACATAAGACCATTACTGTATAATGTTACATTGAAAAAAGAGACCCCCAAATTTTTGTAAGGATGCTAATCACAACCATTTGAAAATAACAGGCATAGCAAGAAGAGTGGAAAGAAACATCCCACGGATGCAGGTTGTTAGAACAGAATGTTCCAGCAAGTTTTTTTTTTTTCTTTTTTATTCTGTTCTGTGTTGTTCACATTTTTCCAAATGGCAAACATTTCTTTTATAATCAGGGAAAAATAGAAAAAATATAGTGTCTTCTCCCTTGCACTCTATCTGTCTTCTTCCCTGTCTCTCTTGAAACATTTCATTTCTAATTATGAGAACATTAAAATTTCTAGTCCTTAAGAAATTAGGGCGAAAAAATCACAAGATAAATTAAATTCCAGAAGTGCACTTAGGCTTTCTTTTATAAACCATTCTCAGCCAGATTCTTATGCCTTGTTTTGAGTATTCTTCATGAGTTCCTACAGGTGTGGAAGAATCTGCCCCTCTGAGAGGTGATCTCTTCAGAAAGCAGGTCACTCCCTCTGTGACATGAGGCGAACTTTGTGAGGAGCGCTCCCACCTCCTGAATATCAGCCAGGCGGAGGAGCCACTCTGACTGCTGGGAGATAGGCCTCATTTCTATGTGCGTGTGCAGAGGACCATCTATGTTTTGGGGAACAGAGAAAAGGAGAATAATTGGAAAATGAACATTAGAAAAATTCAGATCCTGGGGATAATCTGTTAATTCTCATCCACTGTTCGGTTTTGGATTTTTTGACCCCGATCCTGGCAAGTCACAGCATGTACAAAGTAGAGAAGGCAGCGTAAGGAGCCCCTGTCTTCTGTCCTTCCTGTTCCATCTCCCCACACCCACTTAGTTATTAGATTTTATAGTCCAGAATTCCTTTTTAATCCCACATTTTTCTTGTGAGAAGAATATAGCAACATTATGTAAGTTTGGAAAATAGGAAAAAAAACTCATAATCCCACCTTCTGATCCAATAACCACCATTAATAACCACATGTAACACACATTCTCTTTCCACATTTGCAGGCATCGCGTGTTTTAACATTGCAGTCAGAGTGTTCATAGAATTCTTGGCTCTTACATTTTTGTACCCGAGTTACAGTGTAATCACTTACCTTGTGCTTATACAACCTGCATTAATCATCATTTAAATGGTTATTTGATGCTTTTCAGTGAAATCACAGTAACAAAATTAATCATCTTCTACAGGTTGTTTGGGTTCCTGACACATTTTGCTGTCATGAATAATCCCATAATGAATTCTTCCATGCTATAACTTTTTCCTGCTTTTAATAATTTTCTTAGGATAGATGCTCATAACAGGATTATTGAGTCAAAGGAAATGAGCATTATTTTGGCTCCTGACATGTGTTCCAGTTGCCTTCAGAAGGTTTGTACCAGTGCAGTTGCACCAGCAATACAGCACAGACTTTGGGGCTCTCAGCCCTCTCTCTATCCATGAATGACCCAATGGCGAGCAAAAGCTACCCAAGCCCAAGCTTCAGAAGTATGTCTGCTGATGGCCTTTATTGTCCCTATCAATGATGTCAACAAAGCAAGTCACCATTCCAGCCTGTATCCCCCTATCTCTTCTCTCAGCCCCCCAGGAGGTTGTGGATGAGATCCCCAGGCCCACAGAACCCAGCAGGGAGGCTCCAGAACCCCCCGAGGAGCCACTCCTGGGAGAGCTGACAGTGACAGGATCATCCCCAGACTCGCTGAGCCTCTCCTGGACCGTCCCCCAGGGCCGCTTTGACTCCTTCACCATTCAGTACAAGGACAGGGACGGGCGGCCCCAGATGGTGCGTATCAGGGGCGAGGAGAGTGAAGTCACCGTGGGGAGCCTGGAGCCCAGGCACAAGTACAAGATGCACCTGTACGGCGTCCACAAGGGGCGGCGCGTGGGTCCCGTGTCCACCATGGGCATCACTGGTGAGTGAATGAGGGGTGGGATGGTAAGGGAAGATGACCCAAGAAGATGTGCCCTTCTTAACCATACTGCTGTATTGATGGGGCTCATGGGGGTGGGGAGACAGGCTGTGAACCAGCAAATAAAGCACAAGGGGTGAGCCTGAGACAGGGAAGCCCAGGGGCCGGGCCAGGGCAGGCAGGGACGCCTGAGCCAGCCTGCCCCCGGTACCCAGGGGACAGCTGCGACCTGAGGTCAGGCACGACTTAGCTGGGGACAGCTTTAGAAAGAAGAAGAGCATGTCAGATCAATATCAAGCGGTTCAAAGAGCAGGAGCTAGAAACAGCAGGGCACGTGGGAGGAACTGAGAGATATTGTATTATCTCCTTTGTGCTGGGGAGAGAGTCCTGATGCATGTGGAGGGGTGGGGGTAGCTCAGGGAGCCTGTGGCTTCTTCCAGGGAGGAGGGGGGTGGCCGCACAGTTCTGTGCTGATGACTAACACTGTCCAGGAACCCTCCGCAGCATCTGGCTTGGGAGGGTGTTCTGAATTTGCCTGGGAGCAAAGATACGAGCCAACTGAATGGAGGGTGCCAAGGGGACCCGGTAGAGGGAGGCCCAGGGCGCAGTGGCCACATGGGCTTGTGCCCAGAGAGAGGCAAGTGCTGGAGGAGAGGGAGACGTCACATGGGTGTTGGTGGGTGATGAGTGAGAGCAGGGGGAGCAGGGTAAGGTGATAGGATTGGCAACATCAAAGGAACCTGGAAGAAGAGAGGCCGGAAGACCAAGTGGACGGCATCATTCTGCTCCTCATTACGGGGCTCTTTGCAATACACCTCTTTATGTGCTGAACCAAGAACTGAAGAAGCTCACCTTTCCCCATATGTGTCTGTGCAGCTCCAGAGGATGAGGCTATGACCACCCAATTGTCTCCCATGATGACCCCCGAGCCTCCCCTCAAGCCGCGCCTGGGGGAGCTGACCGTGACAGATGCCACTTCCGACTCCCTGAGCCTCTCCTGGACAGTCCCCGAGGGCCAGTTTGATTACTTCCTGGTCCACTACAGGAACGGGGATGGGGAGCCCAAGGTGGTGCGGGTTCCAGGGCATGAGGACGTGGTCACTGTCTCTGGCCTGGAGCCGGACCACAAGTATAAGATGAACCTGTATGGCTTCCATGTAGGCCAGCGCATGGGCCCCGTCTCTGCCATCGGGGTGACAGGTGAGTGAATGGGGGAGCCCCAAGGTGGGACCCAGTTGTAGGGTCACCCTAATGCTCTTTGGGGACGACTGAGCAGGGGATGGTTCAGAGATCTTGGTCAGTACCACAGACCTGCTTGTGGCTGAGGCTGTGGCTCCCTTTGTCCATCCTCTGTGCTTGACCGTGGCTCCTCCTGGGCATGTTTGGTAGCTGTCAGCCCAGCAGGACCACCCAGCCCCAGTATGGACTTGTCCAAACTGACCTACAGGCCCCCAGTCCTGGACATGACTGGTCCATCCTTCTCTCCAAGACCCCAGGACATCCCCAGGGACACTGCCTCATCCTTTCTGTCTCCCCTTTTCAGCTTCAGAAGAAGAGACACCCAGCCCCACAGAATCCAGCACAGAGGCCTCAGAGTCCACCATGGAGCCACTCCTCGGGGAGCTGACAGTGACAGGATCGTCGCCAGACTCACTGAGCCTCTCCTGGACCGTCCCCAAGGGCCACTTTGACTCCTTCACCGTCCAGTACAAGGACAGGGACGGGCGGCCCCAGGTGGTGCGTGTCAGGGGCGAGGAGAGTGAGGTCACCGTGGGGGGCCTGGAGCCTGGACGCAAGTATAAGATGCACCTGTACGGCATCCACAAGGGGCAGCGCATCGGTCCCGTGTTCGCCATGGGAGTGACAGGTGAGTGAATGTGGGGTGGAGCAGGGGAAAAATAGGACCCTAGATTTCCCTTTTATACCGGCCTTGTGAAAACATGAGGTCCTCACTAGCAGTGCTTCTTTGCATGTCCAAGTGCCTGGTGATCTTGTTAAAAGGCAGATTTGTATTGGCAGTTGGGACTGTGGCCAGAGTGCATTCCTGATGCTGATGCTGTTGTTCCATGTGCAACCCTTGAGTTTCAAAGCTTGTCACAACAGAAGAATTCGACACTTTAGAAAAACTTGTTGAAAAGAATTCTATTTGTATCCCTGATTCCTCGCAGAGCTCACTCTCTGTGGATTTGAGCAGGGGCCATGAAGGAATTCAGAAGGTGTCAGGGTGCAGCAGCTTCACTGTCCACCCCATAAACCCATGGTTGGAACAGTAACCGACTTTCTACTCTAATGGGACAATGTGTTCACTCAACAAAGAATCCCAAGCCCTGAATCAGGCACTGTAGTGTTGGAGTGTCAATATCCTCTTGCCAAAGACTTCCAGAATCTCACCTGTAATCAAACTAGTAGAGTTTATGCCTTTTGCAGTGCAGGAGAACTGTGGGGTGGTTCAGAATGATGGTTTAGAAAAAAATGGGCTGTGATTGGGGCTTGTGTTAGGTGATTTGGAGGCGAGCTTAAGGAAGTGGGGTATTGCACTGTGTTGGATGCCATCAGGAGGAAGGGGTACTTCTGTGATTGGTCTTCTTACTAAGTGCCATCTATGGCAAGGTCTACTAGAGTAAAGCCAAAGCAGTAATTGGTAAGGAAGCAGCCACTACCCAGATTACCTAGAGGGGGACATTTGGTTATTTTTGTGGTTTGGAAAATATTTGTTTGTCTATGTTGAGACATGATTGGAGACTGGCCTTGTTTTTGATTTGACCCATCATGGCGACAGATGGCCTTGTCTGATGTTGATATTCCCTGAAATTGTCTCTGTTTAACTAGACCACACCAAGACAGAGCTATGCCAGGCTGGCTCCAAGAAACCAAAGCCTGGCTGAATGGACCGGGCAGCAAATGTATGGCAGGGCTGCTTTTCTTTTTCTCAGGGTGAAGTTTTAACAGGGATGCACACAAGATCATATTTCTACGGGGCTCACAGTTTTGGGGACAGGCAGAAATCCAGCAAGTACA